CATTTGAAAGGATTTTGTTCGCTGAAAGCAATGTAAAAATACATGTTTAATATTTGTTAATTTTTCTCCAAAAAAAGGTAAAAATTGGAAACTAGACTAAAAAAATATTAAACACGTATTGATTGTTTTTTTGATAGCATCATTGGTTCAAGAGAAATTCGGACGGATTTTGACGATCAGCCATCTTCGCTCCAGTACATCCAAATAGGTTTGAATGTCTATATGTATGTCGAAATTTTTTATTTTAACATAATTTTTATTACAATTAATTAAGGTTTTTGGTTGAGATAAAAAAGTCAATGTCACGACCGGGATTCGAACCCACGATCTTCGGCTAGATACGCCGCTGCTCTACCACTTGAGCTATCATGACCTCGATCTAGGAGCTATCGAGATAGGAAGTTAGTGTCCGAGTGGATAGCTCAAGTGGTAGAGCATCAGTGATTACACGACATTTGAAAAATGGCAAAAAGTAGGAAAATTCGAACGGTTGTAGGTTGAGATGGAGAGTTGGTGTCTGAGATGATCGAAGTCACAATGGCTCAAGTGGTAGAGTAGCGCTGTATTTAGCCGAAAGTTGTGGGTTCGAATCTTGCTCTGGACACTGTCTTTTTTATCTCAACCAAGACCTTACATAGAAAGAATATTTATTATTTATGATCATTTAGAGATCGTGAGATGCGGTCTGGTGTAACGTAGGTTGTAGAAAAACATTTTCGTTATCGTGCCAACGTTTAGATCTCCATTGTGATCATCTTCAGGGCTCGAAGTGTTTGTTTTCTGTGTAGATGTGTCATTATTGTGAGTCGTGTTGAGAGTGCCCACGATCTTACGATCTCCAAATAATTTCTAATTAACGGTCACTAAACACCACAGACTTATTATTTGTCAATCTGGACGTATTATATTTATAAATTTTCCTCTGAATTTTTCCTTTCAAAATAAGTATATTTACGACTTTTACAACAACCACTGAATAAAATGATTGCTAGTAAATCCCGTGTGATGAACGTCAGTATATACTCAAATGCTCAAATAATAGACCAAACTAAGCGACAAACTTGAAAAAGTTTCTTACGTGCTTAAAACTTAAACGTAAGTGGAGTTGTTATAAGTTGTAAGGTCCGTTGTCATTCTCAAGCACCGATACGTTCTATGCTCAAATAAATCTTACTTAGATTCTTTAAGAATTAAAATAAGGTACTTGAAAAATGTGCTGCGATGTAACACTTTAAGTAGCAATTGTATATTTCTGAGCGGTCCCACCCACATCCCTATTTTTCAACTTGCCGACAAAGTTAAGGGTAGCAACGTAAAATGTTCGCAAAGTATGTTAATGCGGTGTAGATATTGCTATCACTAAGTGGATCGTTCTAAGCTAACTAATTCCTCTTGTAATTAACTTTCGAAAATCTTTGTTCCCCAGTAACACGAAACAAATATTCTAAGTGTTAAGCATGAACATTTTTCGATAATTAACATTGAGATTGAATTTAATTAAAAATCTCAAATGTAACACGGCTTTTTTCTATAATTGATTGTTTGAAAAGCATGTTTCATTGCAATTTTATGACAAATTAATAATGTTCTTGTTTATCTGATAACACTAATTTGTCACCTGGAACAATTGTCATTTGTTTGAAGGAATTACGGCTGTTGTCCACATCGTCGCTCATACTGTAAGCAAATCCCTTGACATGTAAATTCCCATTTTCCAGCTACGAATGCCACATTAACAGAAAATGTTCCAACAACATAAAAACTTGTTAGTTCAATATTATTTTTGTTAGTTGAGGATTTCATAAAAGAACCAAACTTCATTGGGATATACAAATAAATCTTGAACGCTTAGAAAACCGTAGAAAAACTATTGACCGTTTTTTGAGGAAGTACTTATTTTTTATAACATAAAAACCAAGTATATAATGACAAAATTGGTAAAACTATTAGAATACTGAAAATAATAATAATAAAAATATTAATAATAACTAGTAAGTGTGAATGTATTTATTAGCGCGAATGATGGCAGGCCCTCAGTAGAATATCCAATACCCTGAGACGTGCCAAATTTAGGTTAAGTGACAATACATGTATGTACGTACGTGTGTGTATAAAATGTTTTAAAATTATTCTGTAAGTTAGCGTTTGGAAGGAAAAAAATTTAAGTAAAGTAATTTTTTTCACAAAAATTGGTATCAAGGGTTTTTGCGAGCAACGAATATGACTATGTTTCTGGATTTAAAACCATTTATTTTCATCTAATTTTCTACTTCATACGGTCACCAATTAGTTTTTCAATGGGTAGATTATGTACTTTTGACCTGAGGTTGATGTGAAAAATATAAACATTGTTATGAACTTCAATCAATTATTCTTTGTGTGTAAGACCTTCAGCTGGGTTCGAAACCCGCTCGTGACCTCAACCATTTTCATTTCAATCAAGACCGAACATACAAAGAATAATTAATTGAAAGAAGTAATTTGGTCAATCAGACCACTAAACAAAATGGATTGTTATGAACTTTAGCTTTACTGAATCTGGTCACTGTTTTTAAAAAAAATTTTTTAAATTTTTTAAACTTTTTTTTACTGGAAGCGTGTTTTGGTTTTTATAACTCTTTATGTAGGATTTTTTCACATTTAATACGATCTCTATACGATCTTATCTTATCCTACGTAAAAACATGAATTGGCTGATATATGATTATCTTGAAATAAATGCCCAACTCCAACCGAAACCCATATTTAAAAAAAAAACTTGATTTAGCTAAAATCATTTAAATTGCTCACATTTTTTCTCAGCTAGTAGGACCCATTGATAAGAACGGTCGGACATGGGTCGAATATTTTTTGACCCACTTATCGCCAAAACAAGTTTGGTTGAAATCCGTGAACTGGAAGTACAAAAATATGTGAAAAATGTTTACGCGAAATTAACAAAATTAGTCAGTTCTCTTTACAAACTAAAAAGTTATTAAACACTAATGAGAAACAGGCTCCAATTAAACTAGGCCAATATCCAGACAGAAATTTTAAAAATGGTCAAATCTAGAAAGTGACAACACTATCAAATCGAACATTTACGTGAGTGAAAATAGCTACCCTAAATCATAAATCTCAGGGAAAACAAGCTTTTTTTTAATTGCTGAAATTTAACTGCCAGCGTTCGTTAAATTTACTTTGAAAAAGCAGTCAAGGTTTTATGAAAGTGCTATTTTTATTGATAAATCTAATATTTTATGCCCATTGGTTTAGAAGGTTGTCAACAAGCATTATATTACAATAAGACAACGCTAAACTTCATTACCTAACTTTAAGTCTTTGGACAATTCAACTTCCCTCGACTATCTGAAGAATTTCATCATATTGAACTTTTCTGAAGTTACGCCATTATAAAAAAGTTATAATTAAAAGAAATAACTACCACCGGTAAAAATGTAAATTAATGAATATTCAAACATGATAAAACAGTGAGGATAGGCAGACCACATGATCGGTGGTAACAAACAAAATACAGGTTCATCAACCCGCAGACCACAATGAGAAACATCTTACTAATTAATAAATCAGCATTTCTCCAACAAAAAGTCAAATTTAATTAAGTATTAATTACATAAAAGAAAATAAAAGGATAACTGGCGATTGATTTTAAATTTTGAAAAGCTCCCATTGTTTAATAAATGTTTCTCTGATGTATTATGAGTCTGTTAGCATACTTAAGTGAACAATGTACTTTGCAAATACCAACACTAAGCCTTTGGCCGGATATAGCAATCTGTACTATTTTGGAAGCTCAAGAACATCCTACTAGCCACTTATTAACTTATCCAAAGATCCTACCGTAACGATCGTTATTAAAAGTGTTCCACAAAACTTCATTTCTCATCCAACCTATTCTAGCATGTGTCCCACACGGAATAGGAATAGGTCCCCCCTGCTCTACTCAATTTATAAATCACACCTACCACTATCACGCTATTGTTTCTCCTGATCAAGATCCCGTCATAGCTTCCAGTCATCTCAAAAAATCTTGCATATCCACGAATCATGGCTCCAACGTGGATAATCAAAAATAACAAAACCAAGCTAAAAAATCAACGTACATAACATTCACCCTAAACAAGAAAACGCTCCCATCACTATACCTCAACAATGTTCTCATCCATGTGGAGAACCATGTACGATAAGTCCGACTCTACCTGGACAAATGACTGGCTTGGAACCTACGACCTAAGCGTATAAATGCACCCTACGGTTCATCATGTTAAAACGCTTCCTTTTGGCCAATTTAAATGCACTTTTTGTATACTTCATCACATTTAATAATATCTCACATGGTATTTTATTATCCAGCGTAATTTCTGCTAAAGAAACGGATCGAGGGATACACTCATTTTTGGGGTGGTTAATGAAACTCTTGATTAACTAAAAAAACTCTTTCCTATTTATTTAAATAACAGACAACCATTAGCGTTAGGTTTTAGTTCGGCCTTTTGGAATTTCACTTATTTTGCTTTGTATTTAATGATTAATTTTAATTACAATTAATTAAGGTTTTTAGTTGAGATAAAAAAGTCAATGGCACGAGCGGGATTCGAACCTACGATCTTCGGCTAGATACGCCGCTGCTCTACCACTTGAGCTATCGTGACCTCGATCCACTCGAACACTAACTTCCTATCTCAACCCCACCTTTTGAATTTTCCCTTCCTTTTTGCCATTTTCGTCGAGAATCCAATCCGATTACACATTTGAAAAATGCCAAAAAGAAGGGAAAATTAAAAAGGCGGGGTTGAGATGGGAAGTTACGTCCGAGTGGATCGAGGTCACGATAGCTCGAGTGATAGAGCAGCGGCGTATCTAGCCGAAGATCGTGGGTTCGAATCCCGCTCGTGCCATTGACTTTTTTATTTCAACTAAAAACCTTAATTAATTGTAATATATTAATTGGTCAAGCGGACCACGAAATTAGTGAATTTAATTAATTTTTTGTGTTTCAGATGGAATACGTACTGCTCGTATCATTGTTTGTCGCCTGCTGCGTCGGCCATAGCCTGCCAGTTAGCCAAACCGCGGACGAAGAGGCTCAAACAAAGTCAGAAAAAACCGTAACAAAACGAAGCATCCCTTGGTACCTTCCGACCATATACCTGCCACCGATCATCCAAGTGCACCACGTAATTTACCTTCAAAAGCCGGACGGAAGGTGTTTTTCCGATTTACCCCGACCGACTCCTGGTCCTTCGGGCAACACAACAAATGCACTACCTTCTTTGGAAGATAGACTGGGAGTGAATACCAACGACACGAATCAGGAGCCATCGAAGTGCGTTTGGGCCATCGTTGCCTGCTGTTCGCCCAATTCCCGAGAGATCAGATACTCCTGTTTCGAACTTCTGGGCTGCGAGGGACCTTTCTGGGATGAAAATCCCTGCGAAAGTAGGATCGTCACCGCAGCGGCTAATACAGCATTGAAGTTTTACATGAGTAACAGTAGGGAAACTCAGAACAATGATATATAGATTGACCTAAATAACTGAACCAACTGTATTAAGTAAAGAACACTAAATTCTTTCTGTGATACCATCTACCAGCCATATAACTTTCACTATAAATTTTTTAAGATACTAAACATTGTATTTTATGAACTTTTTCAATTGTTGTAACAAGTCTATTGATTCAAGCCTACCATTTATTTATAAAATATTGAACAACCTACCAGTTCCCTAATAATTGGCGAGAATTGTGAATCGGTTTTTTGTTAAGCCTTGTTTTATATTGTGATCTTTTATTATTCTAATGTAATCGAAATATAGTTATTTGTAATGAATTTCGTCAACAATGTTTTTTATGATTTAATAATCAATAATATTGTGTTTAATAAAATATTTGTTGCTTTTTATTAAAATTATTTAATGATTGGAATCAATCCCCATGTTAATAATTTGACAAGCAAAGGTACGCACATAAGATCAAAACAATCAGAGCCAAATTCGTATTCAGGAAAAAGAAGCTTAATCTCACAGCTCTAACCGTGCTCCAAGAAATAAACCATTGTAGAAATTAAGAAATTACGAAAACTTCTTGATCAAAGGTTAACGTAGAATGAATACCTTAAGAGAAACCACAAGACACGAGAAGTCAAAGAGAGTGGAAAGAAAGTGTCTAGCAAATGCGTGCCATACGAAAATATTCTACTAAGTTAAAATAACTGGCGTGATTTACCAACTAACTCATAATATTAGACTTAGACGTAAAATAATTATTGAAAAGAGAGCTAAATGTAAAGAAAAACCTGAAGCACTTCTATAGTATATACAGGGTGAATTGCTACTCGTGCTACAAACTTCTCCAGTAGATTCTTCACCCTAAAATGAACAAAAAAGTTCATATTGTCCATGGTCCGATTCTCAACCATTTNCGGACCATGGACAATATGAACTTTTTTGTTCATTTTAGGGTGAAGAATCTACTGGAGAAGTTTGTAGCACGAGTAGCAATTCACCCTGTATAAGACTCAAAGATGCAAAATAGTATGTGAATGAACTTAAAGGGCCCTAACTATGAGCACTACACACCCGGCTCAACTTTAAATATCTTTCAAATAGAATTGCTAGCTGTAGAAACGCGTTCAAGAAATAAAGAACAAACATCTCAAGAATTATAATAATACTTTCAGAAAGCCAAGCAGCTCTAAAAAATTTCCAAGCTTACGAGATGTACTCAAGCCTTATTTTAAACTGCCTAAAACTAGAAAACTGGGATGTACAAATTGTCTAGTGCTAAGGTGAGTCCCAGGTCAGGAATTTCAGACAACAAACAGATATACTTGGTCAAACGGAAGCCTTGGGACAACACAGAGCCTTGGAAAGTAGCCGTGTACCTCGGAAAGGCATTCCTGAACTATGTAGATCTAAGAGCCATACCACTAGGAAGAATTTTTAATTCATTAAAAGAAACGAAAAACTTTCCGGAAATCCATTAGCAAAAATCGGTAAAATAGAGAAAAGTTGCTAAAGTGAGAAATGCCTAATCTCATTCGAAGGGAAAAATCCAAATGTTTATTGTGATATACTGTCACATCACACATCAATTTTCTATTTATTTCGTAGGGAATCAAACAAAACTATAATGCGTCATACGTTTTATGTTACTTATTCAGAGATCGTGAGATGCGGTCTGATGTGATGTAGGTTTCAGAAAAACATTTTCTTTGTCGTGCCAACGTTTCGATCTTTATTGAGATCATCTTCAGGGCTCAATAAAGATCGAAACGTTGGCACGATAAAGAAAATGTTTTTCTGAAATCTACATCACACCAGACCGCATCTCACGATTCTGAATAATTATCGATTAACGGTCAATAATCACCACACACACGTTTTATGTTACATTGTAAGTCTACAAAAATATTACTATCATAAAAAATTACGAACTATAGTATTTTAAAAAATTAAATTATTTATTAATTTAGATAAATAAACATAACTATACATGTATTTTAAATGCTGTTAAGAAAAAGATACAAACGTCATTTAGTGCAAAGCTCAATAAGTTAATTACACTATAAGTCTAAAAGGGCTAATAAATTTATTTCATACAATATTTGTAGTTGTAAATAACAATTAAATGTTAAAAAAATTAAATGATAAACTTAGTAAGTTGGTTTAGAACCCGCACAACTTCCATGTTATGCAGAAGTGTATAACTCAACGCCGTAATTACTTCAAAAGGAATCTATTTCATATATTTTTCAATAACAAACGTTTGAACTAAAAAATAAAATTGTTTTTGCAAATTTTAACCGAAACTTTAGATCTGCTACGGTATCCTTATAAAGTTTACAATGGAGGATCACGACCGGGACGTTTCAGAAAGAGTAAGAACAAACAGGATTCTGAGAACAAATGAGGGTTCTCCTTCAATGAATGTAGACAATAGGCTTTATACATAAGACACTATTTCCTGCAATTTGTGCACAAAGTGCAATTAGCGAAAGGTCTTACAAATTTCACAAGAGTGGAGTTTAGAAATATTAAACTATCAGTAAATAAACAGAAAGAGTGTGAAGTTAACATATCATTTATATTTTATGATTTTTTTCATTTTTATTTACATTATATGATTTTATTTATTTTATTAGTGTTTCCTAAAAATTTTAAAATAAAAAATCACTCAGTATATTGATCGTGCTTTCGAGGAATATATCACTCTTGGATTACAATTGAAACGTGGATTTGAAGGTGGTAGATCTCGTACATTCTCCTGAACTAAATAATAACGTAAGAAAACCGTAGATAGTTGGAAAAAACATAAAATATTGAATATCTGCAAAAGGGTTAAGAATCGGACTTTGGTTCAAACTAATTTTTTGATTTCTGGTGAAGATCAACTTTGTGGTACGGGTAGTGAATCACCCTGTATAATAATATTTATTAACTGTGTAATCATTAGAAATATTTTCAACGTCCTGATGAAAGGGATATTCCTCGACAGGTTGCCGAATTAACTGAATGTTTTTCTTTCTTTTAAATTCGCCTGAACAAGGATTTTTCATATACAATTATAATATTAAGTGGTTATGGAAGCGACACAGCTATTGATTGCTCAATATATGAATAATATATAATATGAACGCTGTAATCAATCACACCAACCTGTTGAGAAAAACATGAACATTAACACTTATGGCTCAAGGTATATTTCAAGGATTTACTTATGATTCTATAAGGATCTTTAAAATCTAGATTATTCTGAATATTATTCCTGTCGAAAGTTTTCTTTTAAGAAAACTGTGGATTCATATTCATATAAACAAATTAAAATATCATTTTTATTTTTATACAATTTATTTAACAGTTATCTGATTATCGTTGTGGTGGGTTTCCGAGTACAAACAACTTACACTTGTTAGGATGGGTAATGAAAAGACTTGCTCAATGGAAAAAGATTTAAAAGGATCTCATGTTTTTTTATAATGTATTTTAATATAAAGAAACCATTCAGTGCTAGGCCTTTGCTCAGGCGTCTAAAATTAAAGTCACTCTTTAATTTAAATTGATGTGTGTTTTCTAATTATTTCTAAAAAGGTCTCACTTTTGTAATTCTAGCCAGAGGTAAACCAGTCGGGTGAATGAGAACTTGATGGAGTAAAGTTTTCACTGAATACGGTCTTAGGGCCTTTTTGTCGAACGTAGAGACTACTCAATAGCGGGTTTTTCAAGTACCCCCCCTAATTGCCACCCTTTGTACCGTGGAAACCTCGAAAACCTTTACGACACCTTCACAATTTGCGGCCGACTTTTCAAAGATTACCTTTATCCAGGGAAAATAGCACCATTCCCCGATGGGGATGATTCGATTTTGACCAATCTTTTTAACCGATTGCGAACCGTTAACGATATGCTCACATACGAAATAGATAACTGATGCGTTCCTCGCACGGAGGGCTTGTGATTCCGGCCAATACGCTGCATTCGCTACAGCGATAATTCAACCGAATATCAAACCCGGAGGACTGCACGATGTTCATGCCCACACCGATTACAACACGGGCTGACATTCATCGATTACCCAACATTCAATTCATGTTATTGAATTATGTACCAACAAAATTCTCAACATGATACAAATCTACGCTATTCAGACGAACAATTAAAACACAAATCAATAAACATTTTTACGATTAATGGTAGGCAAATCAATTATTTAAAATAATTTAAAAACTAGTTCCTACTGATTTCCTGGCGTGGAAGGTCAAGGCTAAAATATAATTATCAGTAACAAAGATAAATTACAAAAAGTGTGTACATTTTTCTTATTTATAAAATATCCATTCACTTGATATTTAAGAAGGAATGAGTGTATCAATTCAACAGTTGAAAATGATAGTTCTACTCACAAACGTTCGTTTCGAAAACTATCCACCTAGCTCCCGTGGCTATTGCCTTTTATCATTCTTGATTGACCCTCCTATACGCCCTTCTCTTGATATTTATTAATCATATTTCATGTAAGAACTGCCTGCCTTGCATAAAGATGCAAAAATTTGCTCTTTTAACCACTATCCACCAGTGCTCGGAGCGATAGAGACAGGGGAGATGGATTGACAAGCATTTTCTATCTTTCACCTCAGTTCTTCAACTACGGCGTAGACACTGTTTTTTAAAAGGTCGCACAGAAAATAGTCAAGTGGAGTTAAATTAGTTTAGGAGGCCAACAGATCGGACCATGAGGTCCTATCCACCAATCCCGAAAGTGACGATTCAAATATTCACCTGCAAAGAATTGTGTTCGGGGCATCCATCAGGCCTGAGAATTATTCTTCGTCGTTGTTGTAATGCTAGTAAAGCCTCCCTCAAAAGTTAAGAAATTGATTACCATTTAAATTATTTTCATAGAAATAAGGACCAATTAATTTATTTCTGAGAAACTAACTCCAATCGTTGATGCGGTGAACCACCTGATGATGACAAGAGTACGAAATTCGCGGGTTTTCTTCTGCCCGAAAATTCCAACGTATTAGTATGCCATTGCATTCATCAGTCCATAGGTTGTATGGAACGTTTTCTTCAGCCTCCAAAATCTAAAAGTAAAATTTACTTACTTCGAGAAATTAAGTAATTTATCTCATTAATAATGCGAGTTTGACAAACAATGACAGAATGTAAACAATAAAGGTAATTAATGTTTACTTTAGTGAAGAAGCAAATTATTGGAACGAAACAAACGAAATGCTTTTTTCAAACTTTGCCATAACTTTGTCTTTTTTGACCAATTTAAAATCCTTTTGCACCATTATATTCAGCGTACAAGCTCCTTTAAAATAACGTATCAGGATGTATAATGTATTTAAAATTTTGAAGTAGGACCGGGCCTGAGGTGCCCTGTATAATTTTTCTCCAAAGAAAG